GAGAGAGAGAGAGAGAGAGAGAGAGAGAGAGAGAGAGAGAGAGAGAGAGAGCGAGTGTGTGTGTGTGTGTGTGTGTGTAGGATTGATGGGAGCAGCTGTGGTACAGTTGAGGGTTGCATTGTCCTGCCAGCGAGGAATGGGCCACAAGCAATGGCAGTGGTGCGGCTCACACAAGTCCCCGTCACCCGCAGCCCAGCACTCCGTTTCCCCTCAATTATGGCTCTCCTTGATATCTTGAGGCCTGAACCAGGCACCCACCGCGGCGTCTTGTTCTCGTCCAGCGTGAACGAGGTGTTGAAAGCATCGCGCATGCGGCTGACACGTGTCAGGGCCGCCTCCTGCAGGAGCAGTGCGGCGCGATGGAAGGGTGCGGCAGCATCAGCAGGCTGCTCCCATGCACAACGGAGCGCGTCATATACACTTCACGTGCACAACTTGCGCGCGAAGCGCTGCGCCGCATTCCGCGCGCTGTTGCCCCTTGGCGTGTGCACCTGGAGCAGCGACGCCAGCTTGTTCTGCCCAGCCGCCTGCAGCTTGGCCTCCGCTGCCTTACGCTCCGCGTCCGACAGGTCCACCCCTGCCAGCGCCGCCTGCAGGGTGGAGCCGGCCGCTGCCACCGCAGACGCCTTGGCCGCGTGCAGCTTCGGCCACAGGTCTGCAGGGTGGGGGTGGGTCGCGGACGTGCTGGGCTTGTCGTCATGAGATGGGGCCAGTGGGGACACCCAAAGCTGTGTGCAGCCCGCAACCCTGAGAAACCGACAAGCGCTGCGTGGATCTCCAAGCGAAACTGGAAAACCAGAAGGTGCTGCGTGGGCCTCCGAGCGCCCGTCCCACCACGTCCCAAGCCAGGCTCACTTGGCGGGCAGTCCTGCAGCAGGTCCACCGCTGTGGGCGTCAGCAGTGCCGTCAGCCGCTTGTCGGCCGCCCCCACCGCCTCCTTGACCCTGCCGTGCTTGGCCTTGTCCACATAGTCCGCCACGCGCCGCCCCAGAGCCTCGCGTGCGGCCGCGCCTGAGGGACGAGCCGTGAAGGGGGTGGAGGGCGGGGCGTTGGATGCGGGGCCGTGCAGCAGTTGACCAACATGCAGCAAGGGGGGGCGGGCCGTCGAGTGGGGTGACGAGGCGCCGTCCGCAAAGCCAGATCTGCCGCTGCGCGCGTTGGCGCCAGGGCGGACGAATCCTGGCAGCGCTCAGGTGCGGCCTTTGAAGGCGACGCAGGCGGAGACGACGACCCCCGCGGCCACCCGTCAGAGGCCACCATTGGTGGTCACCCCGCCGCCGCCCCGGCTGCTGATGAGCCGCGGCTGCTCTGTTCTCGCCTCAACCGCGTCCATGCAATACCTTCAAAGAACCTTTTGTCCCGCCCAAGGCGCCGCATGCCCATCGCAGCGCCCCCGCCCGCCCACCGTTCAGCTCCGGGACGCCCTGCACCAGCGCGTCCTGCAGGGCCGCGTCGAAGCGCCGCACCGCCTCTGCCTCGCACTCCCGCGCGCACGCGCTGAAGCCGCCGCCGCGGCCCTCGGAGAGGCCCAGGCGGAAGGCCTTGTCGAACTCGGCCTGGCAGTGGGTTTCGCGTGGGGGTATTGGAACAAACAGTGAACTGAAGCAGCGGATTTCTGCCTGCGAGTGTGACAGCAGAGGCTGCAAAGCGCAGTCGCACGCGAGGACAAGCGGACGAAGGCGAGTCATACAGGACTGCCTGGCCTGGGCGAGTGACACAGCCTCCCACGCAATGTCGCTCAGCAACGGGCTGCACACTTGGGAGCACAAACCACACCTGCTGGACAACAGCCATTGACGCACGCACACGCACACACACACACGCACACACACACGCACACACACACACACACACACACACACACGTGCGCACGAGCATGCGCATGCGTGCGTGTTCAACGCGTCCACCCGCCCGTGCGCACCATCTCCCGGTCAGCCAGGTGCCTCATCTGCGCATCAAAGGGCCCCGCCAGTGCCTGCGCCAGGCCCTCCAGCAGCTCCGCCCTCTTGGCCTCGCGCACCCCAGCGTGGAAATACATGGCCTCCTGGTCGTACCTTCATGAGGGAAGGCCGGGTGGGGTGTGTGTGTGAGGAGTGAGTCCAGGTGGGGCGGGCGGGCGACATGCAGACTGGAGGGGAGCGGGGCGAGGTGGTGGTGGGGTGTGGGGACATGGCTCTGGGGACAGCCTGAGGGGATGGGTGTTGAGG